AAAAGTGAATCACACGCTACAAAGGGTTCTACGCAATCAGGATTACGATAATCTTCACCATTCCGTCAAAATGATCAGTTACAAATCATGTGGCTTTGTACGTTAATGAAAACGCAGCAATAATTACTCACCTTAGCTACGCGGCCTACTTGGTATGGCAACATCAGAACTTGACTTTCATCTCTTCTAAACTCACAGCCTAGAGTCTGACTCATTGGAACATGGAGAATCACAACAAGCTAAAATCTAATTCTACTCACTTGAGGGAGCAGAAACTGTGTGAGCATATATATATAATATTAGCTGGGGAACAAACCGCACAGTTGTACAGTTGGACACACCAGGTACAACACGCCACAGGACTTCCTTGGCTTGACTGGGACGACTTCTAAGAACAATCTACAGGAGCTTGTGTCTGGATACAGAAAACTTTCTTTAGGACACTGTTTCTCGGTAAGTCATCATTTTATATCTATCATATCTATCAGTGTCAGATTCTTTGAGTTGTGAAAAAAGATGGTATTTAGTATTTTTTTTATTGTATTGAGGCGAGGGCTTACCTTTTCTAAACCTGCCATTAGCTACACACAGCTGCAGTAAGTCTGGCCAAAACGACTCCTATGTAACAGCATTCCAGTATACTTTCTTGCTCTCAAAAACAAGTTATATACTTTAGATGGAATTTAGCAGAGGACTTGTTATGTTCCTATTGTAATTTAAAAGAAGAAACACCTTTACATATTTTTTGCCACTGTTGTGAAATTTCTGGGGGATGTAGAATCTTCGGGAAAACAACATATATTGATACAACAGTCAAGCTTACAATTATAATATTTGGCATTTCAGTTAATCGTCCTATAATTGACCTTAACACATTGTTAATATTAATTTATTAAAACTTTATATACATAAGAACAGACAGTATAAGTTTGTCTACGATTTTAGGGATTTTAGTATTTTTTTGGCTTTTTTTATCGGGGGTTTCTTTTTTGCACTGGAATTGTTTTTCACCCGAACCCAACGTTGGCTTGGGGTGAAAAAAAATGAGTGCAAAAAAAGAAACCCTGATAAAAAAAGCCTAAAAACATGCCAAAAATAACCCAAAACCCAAACCTCTTCTTGGATCGAGAGTAGTATGGGGGATCCTAGGACACATGCCCACAGAACATTGTTTGTTTGGCAATAATTACAGCACCTGAAATTGTGTAAAATGGGACTTTTTTGCTATTTCATGCTATGAACATGATCTTTTTTAGCTTGGGAGGCCAATTCATTGTAAAGTACTCCTTGACAGACTGACACAACTTGGGAGAAGCACCCAGAAGAGTTTGTTCTACAGCACTCACCTGTGAATAACCCAATAAGGTATGGAGGACTGGTTACTTTAAAGATTTAATGGCTTGCATGTTTGCTAGAATATATGTACATGTACTAGATTACAGTTATAATGCAAGTTATTTTCTTTTAGCTTGTGATCTGGACATGTTAGCCTTACTATTAAATTTTGAATACCATAGATAGCTTTGTTCTTGTTCTGGAACTGCTAGGGCATTTATTTAAAAAAAGCTTGCTCGGGGATAACTCAAGAATAGGTCGACGGATTGTCTTGCTTTTTAGTATGTAGCTTAGGTGATGCTTGACATAATTAAATGATGATTATGCAACATCTAATTTGCCTAGTTATTTAGGTAATTGTATAATTTACAAATCAGCTGTGTTCGTAGTTAGGACTAATCAAACATGATTGTCACATATGACATTATGTCATTGAGAATGACAGGAATATCGACAGACATTGATTACATATTATATGAATTGCTATTTTACATAATTCATGAGAAAATACTGTTATTTCATTATAAGTGGTAACTGACTCTGGAATTTCACACCACATTTGGAAGTGGGCAGTCATTTGGGTGAGAAAAATCCCAAAGTCCCCCTAATTACCAAGTTTTAATGACTACAGCTGTACTGTTATTATTCTTGAAGCTTTACAGATCTGAAGTGTTCTCAACAACAGGCTAACCCAA